GAAATAAAATAAAACTGAACTGGATTGAACTAACGGCCGCCATTGCTCACCGCACTGCACGGCGGAGTCCCGGTTCTCGGGTCTCTGGTCCCGTCTCGTCTCGTACTGGATGCATCTGGTTTTCAGGTCCTCGTTCTCCCTCTTGATCCGGGAGATCTCCGCCTTTAGCTCGTCCACCATGGCCTCGAAAAGCTTGGTGGTTTCGGCCACGGCACTCTTCAGCATCCCCTCCATCACGGAGGCGTACTTAGTCTGGAAATCGTCCGCAGACATCTCGAAACCGTTTGGAGGCTGTTTTAGATTTTTTTAGGTGAAGTCCCGCTTGTTCCTGGCCGTTACCCTAACCCAACATGGCTCCCCCAACGTGCACGTACGCGCGCTCCGCTTTGTGTGACGCACATAGCCGCATATCCGGTTCTGCTCTTCTTCTTCTTCTTCGCTTTTTTTTTTAAATGGCGTTTGGCAAGCAACTTTTAGATGCGCATTACCGCCATCTACTGGAATGGATTGTGGATTGGGACGCTAACTTTAAACACACCCCTCAAAGCAAAACAAAAAAACCCAACTTATATCGCATATCCGGTTCTCCTTCTTCTTCTTCTCTTTTTTTTATGGCGGTTGGCAAACAACTTTTTGGCGCGTTACCGCCACCTTCCAGAATGGAGTATGGATTCAACAATCTATTAAATTCTTCCTACCACACTCGTTTTTCTTAAAAAAAAATGGAAACACTCCCAAAAACCACATCCCCAGACGACCTTTAAAACAAATCCCCGAAATCCAATTTAATTTTATTCCTACCTAACTCTCTACATAACCTCTCTCTTTCTTGATTATATTTATTACATTCCCAAAAAACATGCTGGACTGTTTCCAGCTTCCCACAACCACAACACCCCGTGCTATGTTTCATATCCCGTTCTGGACATGGTCTAATTTTATTTATTTTTTAATCAGGTTTAAGACACGGTAATATTTGTCAGGCAAAAATCAGGCTTGTTTTGAGCCCATGTACCACCACAAACAGACTCTTTAATCTTAAAAAAATAACTAACATAACGCACTGATCCGCCTTCTTCTTCTGCTGCTTGTTTATCTTCTTCTTCGTTGGATTTGTGTGAGCAGGACCTCTCAATAAAGGCTAACAACCGGCTTCTCGGCTCATTACTGCCCCCTACTGGACATACATGATAGATTGTGACATTGAAACTACCTCAACGTCCAATTCAATCTTTTAATGACGTTCATATTTCCTCAGACAGAATTAAATCATTCTCATGAATGCTTACATGTTAGCTAACATCTCACTGATAGCGGAGGTATCAGTGGGATTGAGGTTATCAAATTAACAAAATGTTTAACGGTACGGTGATGCTGGTTAAGGAAAATAGACCAAGAACGAGGTGAATACATTATTATTATGATTATGATTACTATTATTACCAGTATCATTACTACTATTATTATTAATATATGGATGTTTGTACACTTGTATGTCAATTATATGTAAAACAAATATTTTTGTTTTGTTTTAACACGTTATTAGCATACCCTGTTAAATGATTACATTTTTAATAAAAATACAATTTGACAGTATTTTTTCTTTTCTTTACCAAATAACTAAACCAAAACGTAGAAAACAAAGATGTAGAAAATGAGGAGATATTATCTTCCTCTGTAGAATCCAGTCGAAGCGAGATTATGAAGATTGTCCCAACCGGCTACCCGTATTTCGCCACGGGGAAGTGCAAGTTATTAGCATACCCTGTTAAATGATTAAATTTTTAATAAAAAATACAATTTGACAGTATGTTTTATTTTCTTTACCAAATTACTAAACTAAAATTTAGAAAACAAAGATGTAGAAAATGAGGAGATATTATCTTCCTCTGTAGAATCCAGTCGAA